AACTATTTCCATTATAAACTTGGGCGTTTTCCCACCGATGGCGCCACTAGTTTTAATAAATTCACAAATATCACTGTATTGATTAAAAATAATTAATTTGGCATCCTTGTAGTAAATGATAATAGATCAAATATAATTTAATAATTATCGCAATAATTATCATCCCTTTAGTTAGTGGCCCCCCTTTAGATACTCTTTGGGAGTGACGATGAGGGAGAAGAGGGCGAAGAAGGAGAGGAAGGAATGAAAACAAAGGAAGGGAGGGAAATGAATAGGGGGAAGAAAAATGGGGAGCAGACGGAAGAAAAGAAGTGAATGCAGAAGCGTGGAGGGAGGAAAGCGAAGAAGATGAATTTTATTAAAAAGATTAAAATACTTTATTCTTAACACAATATATGCTCAGTATCCCATGCGTTTAAAAGAAATTTGAATTCGAATATAAAAAGCGTACGCCATCTTTTCGAATTCTAATTTCTTACATAACCCCTATCTTAAATCCAACGTTTCAAGTTATCGACGAATAATTCTCTCAATTCTTCGTGTTTGCGAATAAACATTTTACAACAATCATATGTAACACTCGTACAATGTTATACATTTTCCACGTTTAACGCAACTTACAGAATCTCTTCGATATACATATACTTTTTGTACTTTAATGACTAGCAGCGAGAGTAATAAATTGCTTTATGCTGTAATACGATTAACATCCATGGTCCGTGAATCCATTGTTCGTGATCGAGCAGATCGATTTGTTGGTCGTGGTTTAATCGTTCTTTTTAGATACTGAGATCACAGTTCAAAGATTCACCTTTCGAAAGCGTACGGGACGGTTTACTTTTATCCGCGAGCTTTTGCTTTCTCTTCCGATTCACCACCCCGTCCGTTGCATCCATCATCCTTAATATGTGCGTTTGATCGGAACAATCAACTGGCGCAACAGATATGTCTCTGACCGCCCTAAATTTACCGCAATTATTTAGATGCTCGTTTTCCAAACGGAAAAAATTCCATATGAATCTCCTGTTAGAAAAGGAGCACCGATTACTTAGCGATCTACACGATTTAATCGATGCCTGCCATACGTATGCGTATGCATATACATACGATAACTTTAGATCGAGACAATGCGAATGCAAACGTTTGAAAGTATACGGCAAGTTAGTTATCTCGATCGTATCACTGATCCTCCACCTCTTCTACACATGCTTTATATCGCTTAAGGGAGTAATCTAATTTAGAATTTAGATAATTTTATACTACTTAAGATGTTCATTTAAGTCGCCCCATTATTGATACATATTTGATTAAGTTACATACAATTTTGCATAAAGAGACACAATTACCTGTAAAAATGTAAAGTCGCATTTGTAAGAGAAGAGAATAAAAAGAAGTTTTTCCAAAATGGTAGACTAGAATACCCCTTTAGAGAAGCGTACTCGCACAGCGTAAAAGTAGAGATCGTTCTTGACACGATTCACAATCAAAAGAAATACTTTTAAAATCGATTGATTTTATTCCTACTATGCTGTTAGTTGGAGAGCTTAGCATGCCAAACATGCAGGTTGATATGCAATTAAAAAAAGAAAGAGGGCGATTGATTTGATTGTGGTAATGAAAATGTACAATATTCGAAAGTAAGAATCGCAATTATAAGATGCTAATTTCAACGATCATGGAATTTCTTCAGCTCGTCAGCTTCATCGTTTCTACAATCCATAAGATGAATAGCTGCCTTTGGTTTAATGTCTTCGTTCTGTCTATAAGGCCCTATGGAGATATCCCGAACTGCTCGAAATTTGCCTATGTTGTACAGGTGTTCATTTTCCAGGCGGAAGTAATTCCATATGTACCTTCTATCAACCGATTGGTAAGACGAATTGGTACAATCGTATGTAATGTTTCTTATTGTAAATTAAATTTGATTCTGGATCATCGTATGGTCCACCGATAAGACATCAACGGTAGGGACACGATGTGAAATATTATAATAGATACGTATTTAATAAATTTAAAAAAAAAAAATATAAAATATGTTTGACTTATAAAATGTACGAGGGAATAAATAAAGTAGGAATAAATCAAATAAATAATAAAATTCTTTTGTACGTGGTAACGTTTATTAAAATTTATTAGTTCCACTCGGCAAACATTATTTGTTGATATAGGCTTCGTATAACTGAAATGACAAATGATTTTAAATATCATGCAAGCAATAACACGTATTAAGCTTTGCTGAAAATAAAACACTAATACACATATATAATACACAAGTCTTGTGCGATAAAAACTATTCCGTAGATGTTGGATATTAAACGCAAGCAGTATAATGATTTTTATGAAACATAAGTTTGTTACCGACAGCATCCGCTTCTGACTTACCTGAATACTTCCAACGGTGCTACTATGGAAACCATCAAGTCTGCGTGTACGTATCCCATTTCCGTGAGCGATAAAGAAAATGCCCATCCAAAACGAAGTATGAAGTCCTCGATTATCGCAAAGTAATAATAGTACTGAAAGATAATACGTATAAAGTAACACATTCAATTTCCATGAGTATTATGTAATCAAACTTACAGGAGAAGAATAAACTATTTCTTCCCTAAGAAATTTGTTTTCTCCTGCGTTACTATCGAATAGACCCCAATCCAATTTTACATCCCATGTGTATGCAAAACAAGAACTAATTATACTCGCAATTATCCATAAGTAAAAATAAGGGTTTTCAGCAGACATTACGTAATATTCTGCGAAGAGACGTAATATATTCTTCAAATTTCTCGAATATCCTCATTATGCTAATTTCAAAAACTTACTAGAATTAGTTAAATGTAGATAGGAGAAAACAACAACAAAGAAACTGGTAGCATATTTCGCCGCGTTTATAAGATGCGGAAAAGCTTCTTTCGTGTCCCTGTATCGTCGCAAACATTGCGCGAATCGAAACCATGCTGGTAAGCAAGCCACAAACGGTCTCATCGATAATTCGCGCATTATACAAGTTTCTGCGTCTATAGTAATTGTCGTTATTAAGTTTGAATGATTTTCAAGATAACGTTATAAAACATTAATTACAAACCAGTCACGTCGGTCCATGAAGAATTTTGCACGTAAAAGCAAACAAAATACTGGAAATCTAGGAAGACGGTGTGAAGAGAATTTAGTTGATCGGCGAGCCAGAAATCAGCAAATCCGACATAAAAAAATGGAGCGCAAAATATTCTGCCTAGGACACGAAGTGCCCAAAATCTTGCCTCTCGTCGTAACGTCTTCGTTGGATTGAATAAAAATAAGGCTAATAATGTATACAGCAACATCTGCGAGAAATAAATACACTTATATATTTACTAAACAAAATGCAGCAGCATGTATTATAATGACTTACGGGTTGAACAAATGGCGGTATTCCTAATATTTCACTGTACAAGAAACCCAAAATCGATAAAGACCAAACTAATCCAAACACGCTTGCCATTTCAATAATGTGCTGAAAATATATCGGTTAATAGTAACATGTGCGGTCAACAGTTTGTTTATCGTAACGATGTACAACCTGTTCCGATAGGTGATTTCGAGGATCAAGTTCAAATATTAAAACGTGATTTACACCGGAAGACCTCCAACCATAGACATTTATACCCATCAGAAAAAGAAACTGAATCATAAGAAGTGGTCCACGATATAATCTACATAAAACTCGCCAATTATTGTTATCTCTATACCATACACCTATAAAACGTAGCATTCGATAATAAGAATGCAACGGAAATCATATCGCGTGTACGATAATTAACTTTACTTACCCGAAAGTATTACTGCTATAAGAAGCACAATGAAAGCACCAGAAAAAATTCCAACTTTAAATGTAACCCACGGAGAAAGTTGTTCTCCGAGTGGAGGGACTCTTAAACGTTTCATGGCTCTTTGTCTGTCCCCATGTTCCAAATCGCGAGTAACCAATGCTTCTGTTTCTGCGATAAGTCTATCTATATCTTTGTGCGTGTGAAATAATGCTGTATCTACATGTTCTGCTTTCCATTTTGCTCCAAGGTCTATGTTTAAAAGCTAAAACGATACGATAGCTTCATATTGATTAACGTAAATATAAAATTGTATCCGCATACATACATACTTTATCATGTTTTTTTAATATCTTTCTAAATCCAGTAAAATTAAGATTCTGATAGTTCTGAAGTAAAATGAGAAAAAGATAAAATTCAGAAAAGGCCAATTTCAGCTCTTGAAGTTTACGCGCAGAGACTGGTTTTTTGTGTAGGATATTATTACGATAACGAATTTTACGGTTTGCCTGTTTATCTTCAGAAACTGATAATATTTCGCTTAGCTCGTTATTCAGAGCTGCAAATCTACGTGTAGCCTCTGCAAGTTTTTCTACAGGAGTAAATAACGTGTTAGTAAGTTTCCAAATATAAAACAAGATTATTACGAAAAATGTGATTTACCTGAATAAAATGTATTTATTTTTGCTAATTCTTTGTCACAGTAATGGAAAAATTTCTCGTCAAATTTATTAAAATAACGTTCTAATACATGTGACTCTGTAGTATCTGCTGTTGGCGCCTGCTCAACCGCTGCATAGAGTAATGCTTTCATTTCCTATACAAAAACAATATTGTTTGATATATAATATATATGATTTTTTAAATTGTTGAAAAAAAATTCTATAGGCTTCTAAGAAACTTTTTTATTTTTAAAATACATTTCTAGAAATGTTACTCAAGAATTTCTGAGGGTTTAGTGAAGTTCGACATTGACAAAATAATAACTAAAAAATCATTAACGTTAAAATGTTTATCCGGAAGAAAAATTTTCGTTTTACCTCATAATTTACATATTGTTTTCTCCATTCTGGCGTAATATGAGCACTCAAGTGCTCCGTAAATTTCATTTTTATAATTTAGATCACTTAGCGACCGTAGTGTTTATATTAGAAAAAATATATCAAAATGCAAGCATCGACAGCAATAGTTTGTCAACCAGAATTGTAACGAATTGCATATTTTAGAAAAAACAAACTGAACTTGTAGCAGATAGGTGGTATCTACTGACTGTATTTATAAATATTGTTTGAGGTTATGTGACATTGTACGATGGTCGACGTATATACATATATATGTAAGTAGGCAGGTGGCTAACATTTGTATTGTTCCTCACACTTTGACTTGTACGGTACAAGTTGTACCTGCATTATACCATCATTTTAAATGCATGTAATTCATATCTATTGATTGCAGATGTGCTAAGATTTGTATCAGTTCTTTTCGTCGAAACGAATCGATAAACAATAGTAAGGTTATAAATCATGACAACAAAACTAACGTTTGTGAAATACAGACAAATGCGATGGGTATGTGTATAATAATATATAAAATTATATAGATAATGCAAATTTATTGTCGTCTATGAATTACACATTTATTAAGTAGTAAAAGTTAACAGTTGATGATCATTTTAATATGAAAATTTGAGTTAAGATGCTTATTTTTATTTTATTTGTTGACTAGTATTCGACAAAAGAAAAAATGAGAGTCGTAGATACCGTAAATGAGCAACTTACAAATGAGGAACTCAAACACAGACATCATCCAGGTAAATTGAGACTTTCATACGTACAGCAACCCAGTTGGCTATTAGATACGATTCTAGATCTTTTAAAAGGTAAGAAGAAAAAAAAATGGAAAATATATTTGTCATTAATTATGGTATATAACTTTTATATATTAGTTAAACATTAAACCTGTTTATATGTACAAAGATGGAAAAATATCACACAAATCAGTTTGGGAAAGTGGAAAAAAATTGGGATCTTATCTACACGAACGTCATATTCCATTCGAAAGTGTAGATATTTCTATAAAACTTAACGAAGTTCGATCACGCACTAAAATGTATACTGAAACCAAAGAAGATCTATTGAAAAATCCAAAGGCTTTAAAGCTTTTCAAGCAACTTGTTTATAATTGGCAACCAGTTGAATATGACAAATACACATCTTTGTCATATTTAGTTAACAGAAGTGTACCTGAGTATTCTGTTTTATGTAGAATTATGAATGAAATTAACAGCAATGATACAAATTTTACACCAAAAACATTATTCGATTTTGGCTCTGGTATTGGAACAGTTATGTGGTGAGATATATCAAACTATGAAAACTATTAAAATGCACAGAAATACAAATTTAATTTCGTTTAGGGCGGCATCTCAATTTTGGTTAAAGTCTATTTACGAATATTACTGTATAGATACTTCTGGACACATGAACAATTTATCCGAATATCTCACGAAAAAGGCTAAGCCACAAATCCCCTTTAAAAACATTTTCTATCGACAGTTTCTTCCGGCATCGCCAACTGTAAGAATGTCAATTATTACACGGTAAAATGTTCAACATAATCGTTAAATATATTCTTCGTATTATTATTTAGCCAACCTATGATATTGTAGTAAGCGCATATTCATTATTCGAATTACCAGATCAAAAATCTCGTCTTGAAGTAATTGCAAAACTGTGGGAAAAAACTGAAAATTATTTAATAATTGTGGAACAAGGTACAAGAGCAGGATTTACAGTGAGTGTTGTACTTTAAGGATTAATTTAGTTCTTCTAACCGGTATATTCAATCGATTTATGTGTTTTAAACAGATAATCAACGAAGCTCGAGATTTCATACTCAATTATACAAAGCAAACATCTGGAGCGCACGTATTCTCACCTGTAAGTACATTCAATAAATTAGTACAGAAATTATTTTCCTGAAAGTTTGAAATTGTATGATTGTTTCAGTGCCCGCATGACCTGGCATGTCCCAGATACACAAATGACAATACTCCTTGCAATTTTGAGGTTTCCTACCAAACATTACGTATTGCTACATCGTCTAAGTACCTAAAAGAACGCTACTCATACGTGGTACTTAAAAAAGGTATAAGACTCAAATATGTCCCATATCTAATATCGAACGATAAACAGTACAAACGATTATTTACGTTATATTTTTACAAGAATATTTATTATACAACATTTCTTTTGCAGGCGAACGTTCAGAAGATGACTATCAGTGGCCACGAATTGTCAGACCAACAATGAAACGTTCTAAACACGTTATATGTCGTTTGTGTACGAGTTCGGGCAAATTAGAAGAGCAGATTTTTACTACATGGAAAAACGGAAAGTTTGTACCATTTCAAGTTTAGAGCATAACATCGTAAGACTTTACGGAAACATTGAAATCACGTTAACGCGATGTTTTATATTTTCAGAAATACGTATCGTTGTTCAAGGGCCAGCAAGTGGGGCGATTGCTTGCCATTCAAGACAGAAGAAAAAAGCAACGAAGAACCGAAATAAAATACTATGTACATTCATAATTAACTGAATAAATCTGTAATGATTCGTTATATTAAAAGAGTTCATAAATGAAATCCCAACTTCCAATAAAATATAATAATGCACGTGATTAAATGGCTGTAGTATTTCATAGTACCATAGTCTTGTTATGGAATTGTGAATGGTGTTATTCAACACCTGTATGTAAAATAAGAGAGATGGAGAAAGGTATTTAAGAGCTGTTTGCAGGCTGGTCCACGATCAGTTCTGCTTAGACAACAGAGGAGTGCATATCTTTAGGTACAAGGTAAGATCGATTCAAGGTTTCTAATAGGGATATAAAAAAAAAAAGCTATTCGGTGCGCTGAAAACTTCCCGCGAATTTAAACAATCGGTTGTCACCTCTTTCTATAAAATTCCAAGTGACATTGCAATGGTTTCGATGAACAAACGTAACGAAATAACAATAATAAAATAATGAAAATTATTTATACAGATATACACGTAATTCTGTGTTTTTTTTCTAAAGATAATCGATATTTTAGGATTTACGTAATATTGAAGCTAAAAAAATTTCAAAATTGTTTGTCCGTTAATCTGTCCAAATGTTTCCGCCACCACCATTTGAAAATGATTCGATACAATTCAATTTAATTATGTACTTTTTGTTATATATGAAATACAAACATTTGATAAGTCTATCAACAAACTTAATTATTCATAGTTTGTACGAAAATTCGTAGAGTTGAAGACGATTCCATAATATTTTAAAACGTAACTTTGAATTCGTATCAGATGTTCAAAAATATCGAGGAAAGAGAAGACTACGCTTTAAAATGGATAACAACATTAAAATGTCCATCAGTTACGCAAGAAGATATAAAGTAATGGAAGCTTATGTATGTCCCGATTCTTCCGTATATGCGACTTTCTCTCGTGTCTCCGGATATTTCACTTTCTTCCTCGAGTAGCTGGAACGCGCTCCTCCCGACGTATTTAAAATGAGATCATGTTTATCTCACAGATTACTACTCATCCGATCTTCGATCGATATTTCGAAACAAAAATTCTTCCGAGGAATTATCGAAAGAGAAAATATTACCGAAGAAAGTATTTGTTCCAAGCTATTAGAGAGTTGAATACTAATTTTGGAATTATACTTTCAAAGAGAAAAGAGATTACGATCGCAACATCGATAATCATAAAATATCCAATTCGCATAGAATTAACGCTAAACCTAACTAACTTTTCTATACAATGCTTATATGCGATATATGAATTATATACAATAATACACATTATATACACGTAAAATATTTTTGCGTTTAATCGAGAAAGCGTCTTCAAGACTAATTCGTCTAGTCGAATATGTACGCACAAACGAAATTTGATAAGTTTAGCATTAATCTAATATGATTTTATTCGCAGCATGTTCTCAACGGTGCTATTGGTGGTAATACTTTTATTGCTGCTACTGTACCTGGGTTCGAGAAAACCAAAAGGTTATCCTCCAGGTATGAAAAACTTCTGTTCGTTTTCTTTCGAAAGTATTTTAAGTATGCAATGATAAGAAAGCGGTAGGACGTTGCGTAATCTCGCTTCCGGGTATTCTAGGTCCGAAATGGTGGCCGATTTTGGGCTCTGCTCTGGAGGTGGCCCGTCTTCGCCAAGAGACTGGTTACCTGTTCAAAACCTGTTCCGTCCTGTACAAAAAGTACGGGCCCGTGGTTGGCCTAAAGATCGGCAAGGATCGCATCGTGGTGCTGAACGATCCCGAGAGCATCCGGATGATGCTTACCGATGAAGTTTTCGATGGAAGACCGGCTGGTCCCGTCTACGAGGCGAGAACTTTCGGCACCAGAAGAGGTATATTCATCCTTTACTTTTTTTTTCTATTGAAGTATACCGCATACAGCCGCGATGCATTAGAAAGAGATTAGACAAGTATTCGCTGTTTCGTATCGATACGAATTGTATACGCTGTTTGATTCAAGGTTTGCTAGTCGTCGATGAGAACTTATGGATCGAGCAGAAAAGATTCGTTTTGAAGCATCTTCGGGATTTCGGATACGGTCGGAAGAGCATGTCCACGATAATAGAAGAGGAGGCTCGATGGCTGGTCGAGCACTTCAAAAAGTTGATCAACGACGAGTACAATAATCGTATCGACGAGTCGAAGATGTACTGCAACAATAACGAGCACGAGGACGGACGAATGTATAAGTGTACGAAAAATAAGAACGAGTCGGATCGAATGGATACGACACCGACGAATCGATACACTAAAAGCGTGAAACAATTAAAAGTCTCGGATATGTACATGAACGCGAACGAGTACGTAGAAGTGAGAAAAATGGCAGAATCATCCACTGGAATAGTTATCTCGATGGACGATGCCTTTGGCGTTACAGTTTTCAACGCTCTGTGGAGAATGATAGCTGGTAAAAGGTTGTCCGTTTTCCACTTCTATAACGTTTCGTTGTTTCGCTCGTTTTCTTTGTTTATTATCGTATTATAGAATACCTCGATGCGATGTCACCGCTAACGCATCGTAATTCTTTGACGTAGGTTTAACGTCGACGACGAGGAACTGAATCATCTTCAACGGATAATGACGGAACTTTTATGCGAGATCGATATGATCGGTGCGCCCTTTAGTCACTTTCCGATATTGAGATTCATCGCGCCGAAAATGTCTGGTTACGAAGCCTTCCTGAAGATCCATCAGCAACTGTGGAAATTTTTGAGGGTAAATTAGATAAACGAGCAACAATTGGACAGAGAAATAAATAACATTGTTGCAGGGCGAATTGGATAAACATAAGAATACTTTCACGCCAGACTCACCGAGAGACTTGATGGACGCATACTTAACTGTTCTCAAGTCTAAAGACTACAGTAGCACGTTTTCGGGTGAGTAAATTCTACTCAATACATTTACTCGGTAAATTGTTCGAATTTTATTCGAATGTTGCTAAGCTCACTATTGGTTGTTATTAAAGGAGAATGTAATCGGTCGATCTTATCTAGGTGAATTATAATTACAGAGTCTCAGCTGCTTGCGATTTGCGTGGATCTGTTCGTGGCAGGATCCGAAACGACGTCTAAAGCTCTCAGCTTTTGCTTCCTGTATCTGGTCTTGTACCCAGATGTCCAAAGAAAGGCACACGAAGAAATCGACAGAGTGATCGGACGAGACAGACTCCCAACTGTAGAGGACAGAGCAAAGTAATTTTAAACGTTTGAAAAGAAAAACGCACCGATTTACGGCTATGTCTACAAACCTGATCTCCTCGAATTGTCTTGTTCCAGAATGACGTACATGAGCGCTATCGTGTTAGAATCGTTACGAATGTTCGTAGGACGATCGTTGAATGTACCTCACAGAGCGCAGAAGGATACATCTATATTAGGTCACAGAATACCGAAAGTAAGAATTACATTTGATTTGTGTTACGTAAAAAATATCAGTGAAAATTGATAGTTCTCTGGAAGATACATCGAGTACATTGAGATTTATTATAGGATACGATGCTTCTCGTGAATTTCAACAGTATACTGATGGACGAATCGTGGGGCGACCCCGAAACTTTTCGACCGGAAAGGTTTATCAACGAAAGCGCCAACATTATTATACCGCAAACATACATTCCGTTTAGTATGGGTACGTATATCGAAATAAAATGATGATAAAATGAAAGCCGCATGAATCGAGAAACATGTTTCATGTTAATGTTATACTCGAACAGGAAGACATCGTTGCATGGGAGAAAATTTAGCGAAAAGCAACATATTTATCATTGCCACTACATTGCTACAACAGTTCACGTTTTCTCCTGTCTTTGGAGAAAAGAAACCGTCATCCCAAGACTTCGTCGATGGTGTTACAACTAGCCCTAAACCGTTCAGGGTATTGGTTTCGTTGAGAACGTAATGAAATATCGAATGGAACTTCGATCGAAAGATGCAGAGCTAAGACTTGTAACTAATTTAATGTTTGCATTGTATCGTATAATCGGCGATATTGATATTTAACATTGATATTAAACATTTATTCAAACGCATATGTAAATCCAAAGAATCGTTTAAAATATAAAAATGAATACCATACAGTTAGAAATAGATACATTGTATCTTAATGTTCAGAAAAATATAGTTTATTTTATATGAAAATACATGTATTGTGTATATATTTATATATGTATAAGAAGCCATACGAAATAAATAATACATATACGAGAACAATACAAATTTCATATCACCGTTTTGCTCTTAAAAATTAACAAAGATCTAGGTCTGGATCTTCGGTACTATACTTTTAATAATATATTACGGACAGTATATAAATTGCACATTACTAGAGATTCTGTAAACACGTATATACTTTTTTTTTTTTAATGTCGCTTATTTTTCTATATGAAAAGATAAATCATCCGTTTGTTCCGTTAACATTGTATCTCTTAAAATAGTCTGGCACTTATTTTTATCGCGATCATGAATATACTGCATTCTCATTAATATTAATATTCTTGTGCTTCGGATCACAAAAGTTTTCTTTCTTTTTTGCTAATTTACAAGAAATATATAAAATTATAAATTGTATTTTGATCCTTAATGAACGAAATAATATATACTGACTATGCAGGTACTGTTTCGATTAGAGAAGTGATAAAACTGGTCAAAACTTTAGTAAATGTTCCAACACTGACCTTATAAAAATGAACACAATTTTGTTAATAACAGAGCATAAGGCCTTGTCGTCCCATATAATATAGAGCATAACGTCTATTTCTTCAAAAATTGAATGTATTTTCTCAAATTCATCGCATAGATGAACTTTTGCCAACATATTTTTTTGCACTGGACGGCATTAAACGAATAATTTTTCAATTAAAACCTACTCGACACATTGTGACAAGACTTAAACTAAAAATAATTTAGTCATTAATTAAAACATATATATATATATATATTATCCCTGTAAGTGATGCCGCAAGAAATGTTGAAATACCTTTTCCGGGGGTCAACTGGGATGATCTTCGACTATATGAATCTGTTAAATATAGAAAGTAAAAGAATTAATTAAATAAATACTAACTACTGAATCTTAAAACCCTTTGCTAGCGACAATCTTTACCTCGGATAAGATGGCCCAATTTTCACTTTCACTGTGTACAGTTAGGCGAAGTATTAATATTTTTCCGAATTTTTTATCTACTGTTCCCTGAGCAATCCCCAGTGCATCAAATTTTCCTAAATAAAACACAAGATTTTAAACATATTTTAGTAATTATGTACCCTACATAAATGTACAAATACAATTTTATATAATACCTATAACGATGTAGCCGTCTTCGGTTACGTCGTTACTATTTCTATTTAAAGAAGCAGATATCTCGGAGAACACTTCTACCGTTGTGTTATAAAATCTATCAGACGGGTGTTCAGGATTTCCACTTCTGAATAAGTACCTATAACAAAAAATTTGAACATGATATGATTGTTAACACATTGTTAAAAATGTGACGGATCTAATACCTTTTTATAAAAATGGGATGCAAAAATTTAAATTTTAAGTGGTCTCCTGGTTGCGGCAAAAGACCCCAAAAGAACGACTCTCCTTTGTACGCTTTTTGTAATGTGTATTGTTTATAAGATTTAATTTGCGTTTCAACTGTTGCTTCCGGATTCTCATGCGCATAATATAATGTTATCTTGCCGAATTGTTTATCCTAAATGTAACATTCTTAGTTGTTACAAAGTACAGATAGAAATAAATGAAATAAACGGTTTGCCTTTTTAATATACCTTCAATTTCTGTACTTTTCCCTTCAACGAAGAATGTGTTCCTATATGTTGAAACAGGGAGGGTTTATAATGAACCCATAACTCTGCTTTAGCCATTTTACAATGTTTCTGAAACAAATATGTAACATGATTAAACATTCCGAATAGTGTGCGGAAATACTTCTTTTATATTCATTTTGCGGGAAGAATGTACATACTTACACTATCTTTATCAAGACTACAAACTTTAGTGGAAACCAAGTGGTCCAGTAACCAATCGACTGGTTTATCATTATGAAACATTAAAAAAAATTGGATCAACCATGGCAGTTCTGCACACTTAAATAATTTTCCTGTATCGAAAAGTACATCATAAAGATAAAGTAAAATTCCGGGATAATCTTATTGGTAAATCTATAATATCGTACCGATGAATCCTAATTGACAAAAGTCCAAAACAAACCAATTTTCTTTAGTCACGATTTTTTGCAGTGCAAAAGATTTCATTGTAGTTATAAAATTTTTTTTAGCTAAAATGTCGTCCTCTAGTTGTACATAGAATGTTCCCTTTGTCTGAGCATATGACATAAGAAATGCAAAATCTAAATTTTGTTTTGATCTCCAAACAACTCGCTGGTGATCGTCGCCTAAGGTGTCACGCAATTTAGATAAATCTGGATAATAAGACGCAGACGGGGATATCACATCAATTACACCAGTCTCGAACTCAGTTGGAAACCTGATATTAAAAAATTAGTTAAAACAAATAAATTCAATAATTGTTAATTTGTAAGTAAGAACTTACTGAACTTCAATTTGCTTTGCAACATACGCCACATAGTCCAAATCTGTCTGAAGAAATTACAATAATTGTAGTAAAATTTCCTTTGTGGTTTTGTTACAAAATTATACATACTCACTTCAGCAACTAAAACAATGATCAAAGTGTCTGCTGTTTCTGCAGGATTCATGCGATCCAACAAATTCTTAAGTGTTGCCATTAAATAGCTCTGCACTTCTCTTTTGACCGTTGGTACTCCTAAAACCATACTGATTCCAGTGCGTCCTTTACTTTGGACAAATGCTGGTCGCAAACTATTAGGATCATTTAAAAAATGTGGAAGAAAATTGTATATAGATGGTAACTTTATATTAGTCATGTTTGTTGTAGCATTGTTAAGTAGAAATTGAAGATCTGGTAAAATGTGATTGTTCTCTATCAATTGCAATAACTGATGCGATAACAAGTTTATTTCTTCCTGACTTGTAACATATTTAGCATGTAAATGTTCCAGTTTGGCTTGGAGTTCTGCAATGCTATTTTGTAAGACTGTCTCTTCATTTAAGTCTGAAGGTGATAGAAGATTTAAAATGGCGCATGGTATTAATATTATTGAGAGTATGATCAGACATCGTCTTCGTACAGGGGTCAAAGCTACAAAATGAGGCGTCATCTTCCTTACGGTGAACTCTACATGATTATGTTCATAGTCTTGTGAAAGAAAATTAAGTTTTCAATATTATCGCATTATTAGTTCACAGCATGGGAAACCTAAAACATGATTTAATATAAAAAAATCAATATTTGTATTACAAAAATTTGTATTTACAGATCATATCAAGGAATGCACAGATGAAATAGACAATTCAACTAAACTAAAATACATGCAGATCGAAAAGGGAAATGATAACTCATTAATAAGAATTTAGTTCAATGTTACTGAAATTAACATTCTAAGTTTTGCAAATTTATAAAGCAAAATATAAATAAAGTTGGGTATTAATTGTAATTTAAATACTATTTACATACATAATAATAAACAAATTTCTATGTACATTTACATTCGAAGAAATATATCACCGCGTGCGGTGATAAGAACAAATGTAAAGCGTTACAAGTTAGAAGGGTATATCTAAGTACTGTCTAAATACATCTGCTATACTTTTTAGTGTTTTGTTTTTAGGTGAATGGTTTCAATTTACCACGAGAAATCGTAGTGTTGAGTCCTTCAAACGCCAAGGCAAAACTGATACGTCGTATTAGATTTGACGAATATCATTATCGATTACGAGTCGTACATTTAAAACCGATGGTTCTGTTCAATGAAATACGAAAATCTTTCACTCGATTGATAATTATCGCATCATTTTTGGTAGTTTACCAACAAACCGTTTCAACAATTTTATCTTTGTTTTGTTAAACCTCTGGTTCAATAAATATCCAACAATCTCGAAAAGGATACAATTCTCTTACTCGAAATTGCTTAGGGTCGACTAGATTCTATATATCTGGTTTCATTTTACAGTTAAGGCAACACAAAATATTTGTATCCTCTTTTTAACGTGGATCAATTACGTATTTATGCATGAAAAGTCGTTAAAATTATTACGGTACTTCGTCACATCGAATTCTATGTGGCATAACCTATTTTATTGCCGAGTTAAGTTGTAAGAACACTGACAATAACAATGTTCATAAATTTCAATTTTGCGTAGTGTGAAAAGATATCGCTACGCGATACTTTTTAAAATAATGGAAAAATCATCGTTTAATCATATCTTAACTAAACATCGAAGTACAAATAATCGCGTTGAATATGGTTGAATAGTTGGATTTAATCGTCCTATCCTTTTATTCCATATGTTTCTGCTTTTATATCCCGCGATCATTTGAAGAGTTTACTGAAGTTTACTTTCCATCGATCTTAGCTTGAAGTTTTTTATGTGATTAGACAAAAGATATAGAAATTATTGAAATGATATTGTAACGAATTAATTTAATTGTAGAAAGGTTCAGTTATCTTATCAATAAACAAATAATATATACGTGTATATGTTAAGTTTATTTTCCGATTAGTTTTTTTCAATGAAGTAGCAGTTTTACTAAGTATGTTTTTAATTATCTATCGGAGCTTGAATTCCCAAATAGTAAACAAGAAAATAATTCTATCTTTTTTCCCGGATTCGGATCTAAATACAAATCGAAAAATCGCTAATCTAGAGACTTTTCCTTCACACGTCTTTCACGTGGCTGCGTGAAACCGAAGTGTTTTTGAATATTTTTAAAATCAGGTTAAGACGGTGTTATGAATTGATTATTGAACGAATATTGATTAAGAAAACATGATGATGGTACGTTTCTTATTATATTATTTACACAATTAATTTATTTTTATTACTGTTCAGTTAACCTGAATGGGCAAATTATGATTTCTATACGATTTATAATGAATGAAAGTATATAAAATTTAATGAATGTACAGTAATTTATTACAAAAATTTGTTTTTTTAATGAAGTGCATATTAAACTGTATCAACCGATATGCTTTTTAGACTAAAAAGACCAAAGTAGGAACAAAAGGAGCGAAGCAGATTGTGGAGGAAAACAGAACAACTCTAAGCTTCTATCGTAATATGATTATTGGGGCATTAGGAATATACTTTACTATTATGATGTTGTTCTTTGAGTTCACAACATCGTCGATAGTAAGTTTCTTATTTATATCATGACTAGACAATTTGAAGTAGTGCCTGACATAATACTGCATTTATTATGTATTATAATTACAGACCTTAAGCATTTTTTCTGGAATTGTATATATAGCAAGTTACCAATTCATGACATATATAACGAAAGCAACATATTCAGAATCCGGACAACTTTTGGATTCTGGTATTGATCTCAACATGGAAGGTGGTATAGCAGAGTAAATATCACAAATTATATTAATTGAATGTTAAAATAATGTAATATGTTTATTACATATCAACTTATATTTGTTACAATATAATAACATTTCTTTCTTTTGTTCTAGACATGTAAAAGATATAATTATATTAACCTCAGGAGTACAAATACTTTCGCTTATATCAAATTATTTTTGGTTCTTATGGCTTCTTGTAAGTAAATTCAGTTAAATGAACAATTTAAATTTATATTTTTTAAAATAACATTTTTCACTTTCACTTATATACTTAAATAAATTATGAAATTTGTATACTGTATTGTTACAGGTACCATTGACGGGAGGTTGGTTATTATGGAAAAAAATATTAGCTCCATGGTTCTTCGCGTCTGCTCCTGAGCAACCTGAGATTAGCGAGAAGAAACAACGGAAGTTGGAAAAGAAAATGGCTAGACGGCATTAATGTTTTCCTTAGGCATACAAGCGCATTTTTAATAAATATTTATGAACTTTACAGGGATGGGATAGATTTGAGCAAGATTATGAAACAAGCTGTCTTCGTTTGAGCTTGCATTGTTTCATACACTGTTCTATGTTCACCAGAAAACTTGTACGCAAATTTTTAGATAAACTGTAAAACCAATTTTTTAGAAATTGAATCATTTTTATGGATGCTATATTAATTTATATAACTGTCTTTTAGCATTAAAAAAAGGAACTTTATAATGAAAAGATTAATATAAAAATAAATTTTATAATTTTTAACGTTTATCTATACTATTTTTCATGTATTTACTCTCTAATCTTTATATATTATAGTTTGCAACTTTCTTTGATAACATATATTAACATTATTTCTTACAAGAACTTAAAATGTAAATATGCAGAACATGGAGTTTCATATGTACATATGTACATACATACAAATTTTCACATATTTGACCATGTGTATTTATAAGAACGAATTAAATTCGTAATGCGAGCAATGTTATTCTACATGTAAACACTCAATATAAATTAAATACTCTTATTTGGCTTTGTTTCACTTTAAATATAATACTAAATGGAATGTGCTCATCACCATTTCTTAATCTGCTTTAAAAATCTTAAAAAAGTGCATCACAATTAAATTAAAATACGATAACCAACATATTAAAATTGGCTCATGGTATAAATATTAGTTAAATTAGAATTGTATTTCTATTGATGTCAACTTCCATTAACAAAATTGTAGCAAATTAAGATTTTCATTTAATAAATACTAAATATTATTTATTAAATACTATTGCTGTATACCATGATAATTATTTGAAAAGTATTTTCTAATCCTATTTGGACTCTTACAATGAAACTACATAACATAGCGGACTACCGTTTGTAAGCTTAAGTAGTTTACAAAATTTAAAGAGTATCTACATCTAAACCTTTTTTTCTCCTGTAATCGTGTTCGGATTGATATCCAGGTGGATGATTATGATCATGTACACCTGTAGGCATAAATCTTTCCGCCATAACTGCGCATTTCCCTTTACAACCGCGATGTTGTTCTGCACATCGGTAATGAGATCTGTTCAAAACTTCTGAACGAGACGTCAAATTATAAACGTAGCCCTCGTGCACTAACTGTGGTCGACCTCTCGCGGATAGTCTATAAATTACTGGTTCAACAGCTGTAATTTAAAATATGCCATTTCAATCATTCATTAATTTGACTATGAACTTTTAATTTTTGCATTATTAAATTTTCCAAAATTTTTTAGAATTTATTAAATTCTTCAAAATTTTTCAGAATTTATTAAATACTTCAAAATTAATAATAATACTACGTTTAATAATAAATTATACTTTTACTCATACTATTAAGATAACAATGCTTTTTTTATTTAAAAATTATTATTAAATAATCTCTCAGGTGTATAAGTTTTCACCTTGTTGGGTAGAGGTTTCTTTGGATGTCTGTGCATCGCTTAACTCGCTTGGATCCTCTTTCTGATCATTTTTATTACTTTTTACAATAGGAATATTATCATCTTCATTTTCATGCGTAGAATCATCTGTATCTTTATTCATTAAAATTGAAACATCTTCGTTATTATCATCTACATCTTTATTTGATAAATCATGAATATTTTCCGATATAGCTGATCTATTACGTCTTCTTTTTTTTACATTCTGTTTTGTTATATCGCGAGATCTTTTTCTTCTATCTATCATTTCTACGTCTTTGTAGATGGTATCTATTGTTCCTGAATGCGATTGATTCACAGTTTCAACATTAGAATCGATACTTAATTGATTGTCGCAATTAGGTAAAGGTTTTGTGCTAATTGTGTCTTCTATTGCTAGTCCTCTGATTTGCAATGTTTGAGCTACTTTCAAGAAAGTAGATAAATCGTCTTGTTTAATGTTAATTTCACCTTGATACATGAATTTCAATAACGATTCAATTTCGGTATACTTCATGTCTTTAAGGATAATTACTGGGTGCTGACAAGGATTTTCCTATAAAATGATCCTAAGAAGCTCTTATTTGAGCTATCGTGACTTATAAATACATTTACCATATATAATATTAGTTTCTGTACCTTAAATATATTTTTAAAATATGGGCTGCAGACCGAAAGTACTAGCTTATGAGCCTGTAGTAGCTGACCCTCTACAGCAAGTGTGACATCTACTAAATCATTTTCTGCGAGATGATTTAAAAAGCCAAACGTCAAGTTACTAGAAAAGTTGTTCCATTTCAAGGACAATTGTTCTGATAGCGAAGTTTCTGCCATTTCTATCTGTAAAGAATGGTAATGTTGTAACAATACATTTTAACGAACTTGTGCTACAAGAATGTACAAATATTACCCCTTTATTTATTACCCAAAGTTAGAATTCCTGACAAAACAAACAGAATATCCCAACTTATTGTTAGAACCACAAGGGTTAGAATTGTAATTACTACAAGTTTAATTTTATATCATGAAACAATTTTAGAGAAATAAGAATTCATTTTTACTTTCGACGAGAATGATACATTATTGCTATTTTGTATTGAGATATTCAAAAATCGATAGAGTACGTAAAACAATTGCTTTTAAATGAAATATCTAAGACTGTAATGATTGGTAATATTGTACTATATTACGTGTTATGAATCATACCATCGTGACAGACGTACTGTCGATACCGATGGAATCGCAATGTATAAATTTTCGAATTTATTATTCAAACATATACTATGTATATTTTCATGTTATATATTTCTCTATATAAATATACGTATAATACATGTAACGTGTGCTGTATCAGTAACGCTAATTATTGTTTACTTCGGTACATTACATTTTTAGAAATTTATATGAAACGATAAAAAAAGATCATTTTTACTCAAAATATATTTGTCCTTTATATGCAAGATATATTTGTAGAAAAGAAAAAGACTATATCGTATGTTTTGTATATATTTATCGTACAATCCATACATTATTATTATTGTATAGTATTAAAGAAAAGTGGAAACGTACCCTCATTAATCGTACATGGAATCAAGTCATTTAAAGTTTCAAGTATCACTTGAATGTTTTGTTTTCTTTAGTTGCTAACTTTTAGAGCATCGATAGATTGTAAATCATTCTTACTTCCCGTCGATAACAGAAATCGTCTCTTCTATTCGATTCGCAAGCTAAACTGTCAAGACACTTTTACCGTTTTTGGAAATTCAAGGTATTTATATTTCAACTATTGGCAGTTGACTTACATTTGCTTCGCGACCGCATTTTATAGTGAAGTTAGTAGCGTACGAAAGCTGACAGCGTGTTTGGTGTTGAGCTGTTGAGTTCATTGAGTCCATTACGTGTCCCTTAACCAAGCCACGTCAAAATATTTATTTCCTACAATGGTAAGTGAAATATTCGCTTCGGTATGATGATTTCTCTCGATAATTTTATCGAATATTATTCTTTACTTATATTCAGCGAACTAAGTATTCGCATTATGTTACATTATAATTTATCTTGACTTTTAGCCCGGTATTTTTCAGTGCAAGTACCGCATGTTTAACAACCGTTTAAGTTAAATGATTGAGTTTAATAGTTAAGTCTTGTTTTCTACATAAACATAAAATTGAAGATAATATTATCATGCTCATAAATGCTACTAGGTAATGGTTTTGCTCTTGAATTCTTTCCTTGTTCTAAAAATTTAAAGACTCATTTCCATAACTTCTTTCAAGTTGAATGTAGATTGTTGATTACTTTAATCCATTAATTTATCTAGAGAAAATATCTACTTTAATCTTTAAATTTAAAATAGAATGGGCTTTAAGTAATATTCTGATTACTCTAATTTTTCTTTGTAAAAGTTAATGCATGAGTGCAACCTTACAACAATGACATGTGTATTAATAACTTGATGTGTGTATATTTAAAGAAATATTGAAATTAATTTTGATTTTTTATTTGATTCAGGTGGAAATTGAGTCTATGATGAGATATGTTTCTCCTATAAACCCTGCAATCTTCCCATTATTAGCAGTGGTATTACTAGGGATTGGAATATTCTTTACAGCATGGTTCTTTGTATACGAAGTTACTAGCACAAAATTTACGAGGGATATGTTCAAAGAATTGTTAATCTCTCTAGTGGCAGCAATATTTTCTGGGTTCGGTGTATTATTCTTACTGCTGTGGGTTGGCATTTATGTATAGGTACGTTATTTAAAAAGAGATATCGGCGAACCATTTACATGTACTTAAGTCATAGCACTTCTGTACTTTTGTTTCAGGTGTATTTTATCGATGTGAAAAATAAATTTTAAGACTATATCTATTAGTATTTAAATAATTATATAATAATTCCTCATTACATAAGAATAAAAACAATGTATTTTTACTAAAACGTGCAATGTAGTGTTTCATCTATACATTTATTACATGGTAAATAAGCATTATGTTTCTTAATATCTAAATTGCTATTTTAGGTACATCCTTTTCTTACAATGTAAAAAGAATTCAATTGAAAATTTGTCTTCTTTCCACATTTTTGAGAGAAATATACTTTCAATAAACAAAGATGTTTAGACTTCCTATGATATTTAAATCTTCATTTGTTTTTTAGAAGCTTTGTATTTATATCATTTTTTTTTTATTACTAACGAAATGTAAATATAAAACAAAAAATGTGGTAATGTACAATATTCGAGTTACAAGGAATACTTTTTGGACTTGCAATGATAATTCCTTACCTCTAATATATTTATATTCCTCTACTTAATATAAGATTTATATAGTTGATTGTGGATACGTTGTAATAAAATAAAATATTAAAAACCGCAACTTCGTAAAAATTAAGCAGATTATTTAACCAGCCAATCCCGCTTTTTGGCGACAACGTTGCATGAGTGCTCTAAGCATAAATTGCCTGCGCGAAAGTTGTCGTACTTGCTTTAGAAATGCATCCAAGTCTATAATACTGCAACGTAAACCTTCCCCAAGATAATATATAGCGTCCTCTGTAGCAGCCTCTTCCGCAAACGCATTTAACATTCTGTAAGCAAATAAGTAATAACGTCAGTTATCCAAGAAAAAAATAATAGACACACGAATCTTCGAATATTTACTGTTTGTAAAGCGGTGCAATTGTAGTAACAGCTTCGTCGACATCTATCGACTGATTGTCGGAAAGTTTTGCAATTTCTTTTTCTAATTCAGCTTCTTTGTCTTGAAGTATATTTATATTTTTTTCAAGTTCGGCTTTCTCTCTTTTTAATCTATTAAACAAGT